GGCTTCTGTTTGTCTAGGAAGCTCGCTCTCAGCTCCACTGTGTCCTTTCTCAGAGAGACCCAGGTGCTAACCAAAGGCATAACTGTATTATGCAAAGAACTCAACTTACCCCAGGACAAACGCCTTCTGACGGGCAGCTCCTCCACCCGTGCAGGCCACATGCTGCTGATGAGGTATACTGAGAGCTGCTCACAGAACTCGGGGAGCAAAGCAGCAGGAGAGGGAGGCAAAGGATCTGTTCCCCACAGAGCACAAGAATCAGAGACCCTAGGGAGAGGACATTAAAACCCTGCCAGGCAGACCGGCCCCCCAGAAGGTTCAGGCCTGTATTTCAACGGTTGTGTCAAGACAGTTATCACTCAGTCAAGCCTGAGTGTCAGCGGGGCTGGTTCCCCCTTTCCTGTGCTCAGTGGCTCAGCTCCTGGGCATATGAGGCTCTTCTTGGCCAGCTCAGGATCCTCTTGCCCCTGGCACTGGGGCACAGATGGTTTAGGACAGGTTGTCGTGGTCCATGTTCACTGGCATTTAACATCTGCTGAGAGCTGCAGCCTTTTGGCTCTGTGAGGACAGCTTCCCAAGGAGCAGGAGGGAGCCCCAGAATTCTAAAGGCAAAAGGCCCGTCCCAGCTCTGCCCAGAAACCGTGGGCCAGGAAGCTCTTTGCAGCCCCTTGAGACAGGAGTCCTGCCAAGGGTGCAGAACAGGCTTTTGTCCCTGGGAAGAGGTTGGTCTCCACGGGTTTGTGGAAAGGTCAGGCTGAGAGCTGCGCTGGCAACTTCACAGGGTCTTCCTGGTCTTGAAGGATGGCCGCCAGGCCTGGCCACAGTCCATGCTGTGCTGTGTCCCTGAACCACCTCAGCAACTTCCTTTCAGGGGAATTTGGACAAGGTAGCAGGAGACCAGGGATCCTGTACCTGTGTGCATGGCTCAGATTGGAGATCTAGAAGCCAGGATTTTCAGATACCTGAGCCAGGGACTTGGATGCCCATCAGAGTCAATCAAGGCTGCAGCAGAGGGCAGAATCCATCCCAGTGGTTCAAACAGAGATTTAAGAAGCAGTAAATGGGGCTGAGAAGCTCACAGGGACAGCAAAGCCTCAGGGACCAGCAGCAATGGAAAATGTCATCTTCCTTAGGCTAAAGGGATGCCTGACGGGAAAGATGAGGGCTGCTGTCATCCTGGAGGGTTGCGGCCAGGAAGGAGCTTCTGCTGTGGACCACAGGCTTTCCCAGCAGACCTGCAGAGTGCTTGGTACATCCCCTCAGGTGCCTTCCATGTGGGCTACTGTGCCCATCCCATGAGGTACCAGAACCATGCGTGGTAGGTGTAGTGCCAGACCAAGCCAGTGTGTGTCTAGTCTGTGGTGACCTGGAGGCCAAATGTCCTGGGCTATGCTCTCCAAGGCGTACGTGCTCCCGTCCTGGCTGTCTGTGTGATCTGAAGTAAGATCTGGGTCAGAAGGGAGCTATGATGAGACAGCAATGCCAAGGCCACCCAAGACAGGTTCTTGAAACCCTGGACAGAGGAGGCCCCTGTGCTCTGGGGATAGTCATTGTATACAGCGCACCTTTCTGGAATAGAGAAGTTAGAGCACCTGTCCTTGGGTTCAAGGTCAAGTCAAGGAGACTGCCACATATAGGCATTATGGGGCAGGGAGCAGGTGCTAGAACCTAAGCAAGCCAGGTGCACCAGGCACAGGGAGGCCCCAGGCTGCAGCCTAAGCCAGAAGAGCAAGGCCTCAGAGCTGAACACATGCTCTGGTGGTTTTCCCTGCATTAAGATGGGAGAGTACTGCTCCATCTCTGGTAAGATGAGCCCACGTGCTGGGAGCCCTGTGGAACTAGGAGAGCCATAGTCCAAGAAAAGGACACACAGCAGAGAGGACCCGTTCCCCAAAGTGGACACTGTCCCAGGGCTGTTTCGGTCTGGAGCTGAGCAGGAAAATGCTAGGAGATGGTGTCGTGGTTTCCTTGGGGTCAGGAGTAGGGACATCCCAGGTGTCCCCTGTGCCTAAAAACTCCTTGAGGGTTTTCCTCCTGCCCCCAATGCCTCACACAAGCTCTGGAATGCAGTCACTCAGATTAATGCAAGACCAGTTTTAGCCTAGAATCAGTCCTTACCCTGCCTGCGTCAGTCTGAGTCCACCACCTTCCAGCCATCAAGTAAGTGGGCACGCAAAGGCAACCCGAACTCTAGTATGCACTGGGGACGAGAGCTGCGGCCTAACTGCAAATGCCAGCGGGCTTTTGTGAACCGCCTGCCCCTGCCCCTGCCCCTGCCCCTGATCTGTGGTGTGCTAATAAGCAGTCAGTGTGTACCAGGTAACAGCAGGCAATGTTCAGCGAGGCTTCCATGTACCAGGCAGTGCCGTTCTTGCTGCTGTCTCTCTTTTATATGAGGAAGCTAAGGCTTAGAGACGTTAAACAGCTTACCCAAGACCACACAGCTTGCAAGTGATGGAACTGAGAGGAGATGGAACTGCCCCAGGGCCAATGTCAGAGGCAGCTGGGCGGGGAGGGGGGAATTTTTGGTAACTCCTGCAATAAACAAAGACCCCCTCCAGGCCTTCTGAAGCACAAGAAAGGAAAAGCAGCTTCCAGGGGTAAGAAAGAAACAAATGTTAGTACAGAGGCAGGCCAGGAGGGGTGTTGTCTCACCTGGGCCTCCTTCCTGTGGTCTCATTCCCTTTTTCCAAGTTCAGGCCAAGCAGCCACCAGATGCAGCATCTTGGCTGCCATGTCCCCAGGATGCAGCTCCTCGGGGACCCGGCGCCTGGCTGGAATATCCTCCACGCCAGACTCCCCACCAGCTCCGTCTCCACATCTCAAGGCCCCGGCTCCCAAATCATGCTGCCTTCCCGCCTTGCCAGCTGAGCGCGGATGTTTTAGAGCTCTGAATGGGCCATTTCGGCTCGGGGTCCAGATGCATTTTTATATCTGCATGGAAAAAAGCACAGGGGCTCTGCTGGCAGTCAGAGAGTGGTTTTTAAATTAAAGTTAGAGAAAAGGGAAAGAAAAAGTTTCCTGCACCTGGCCCTTCTCAAACAGCAAAGAGGAGAACAAAGTGTTTCTTTGGTTTGGCCACATGTCTAATTTTTAACACTGCTTCTCCCCCTCCCTCCCGTCTACACGTTCTGTTTTTCTTGAAGAGATGCTGCGCCCTCTCTCTGTGCTTGGGTGTAACTCCTACACCAGCCCCTTCACACAGGAGGTGCCAAGGTTCAGCTTGGGGCAGGTGATGCCTAAGGTCACCTCATTGCTTCCTGTGCTGCTGTAACACAGCACCCCACACAGCACCTTAAACAACTGTCTGCCAGCTCTAGAGGCCACACGTCCTAAGTAGGGTGGGGGCTGGGATTTCCCACTCCTCTCCTGGCAGTGGCAGGCAGTCCTTGCATTTCTTGGCTTGTAGACTCACCACTCCCAGCCCTGCCTCCCTCTCCAAAGGTTGTTCACCTTTGGAACCCCTAAAGCCACCTGTCCTCTTGGCTTAGGGCCACCCTGCTCCTTTGTGACCTCATCCAGGCTCGTTATTTCTGCAGCTGTTTGTAGTCACATTCCTAGTGACAATGGAAGGCAAGGGGCAGAGTAGTTAGTTCTAGGCCAGACCTTTCTGGTTGTACGGTGACTCTCAGTAGCAAAAAAGGCAAACCCACAGCTCCTCCCCTGGTCCCATGGCTGTTGTCTGCCACCCGGAGCCCTGGTGCCCTGCTGACTGACAGGGAGCACTCAAAGCTGCTTCTGCACTAAGCCCAGCACCTACTTGGTAATTCTGCTGGGAGAAAGAAATTGCAAGTGAGTCCAGTCTGAGACAATACAAGGTAGAAGACTAGCACCTATTAAATGCCTGCTGTATGCCCCACACCGTTCTAGGCCCTGTCTTCCACAGAACATTTAGATTGGCACACATTAGCACTCCCATTTAGAGATGAGGAAACAGTCAGGAAGATTGAAACTGCCCTAGATCTTGAATCTAAGAAGTGCGGAGCGTGCCCTGTCCAGGCATTGGTGACTGGGTCCAAAGTCCAAAAACTCGGTCACTGAACTCTGTGACATGGGGGAGTTCCAGAAGAGCCTTCATACTGGGGAGGGCGTTGCTGGGTAGTAACATTTAGTTTAATGGCTGGTCATGTTTTAGAGGGAACAGGCAGTTGCTGACTGGTTCCATTCATATGAAATGTCCAGCACAGCCTAATGTATAGAGGCAGGAAGTGGATGGTGGTTGTCACGGGCTGAGACAGTTGGGAGACTTAGGGAGGAATAGCAGCAGTGCATGTTTCTTTTGGGGTGAGAAAGTGTTCTAAAATTAGTACGGTGATGGTTGTGCAACTCTGAGTACACTGATAACCTCTGAATTGTCCCCTTGGATGGTGGCTTGTATAGGAAGTGAATCATTTCTCAATATAGAGTTAAAAACACAAAGAAGGAACTTAGGGAGTTTGGAGATTGGGAACAATGAAAGAAGAGTATACCCTGGCTGAGAGCTGGGTGTGGGAACTGAAGCAGAGGAGTGGGAGACCAGTCGGGAGGCACTGGAGACAGGTTGAAGCATACATGGGAGACAGGGCCACCAGCGTGTGGCACAACAAAGCATGGCACAAGTTACAGTGATTGTACCCTCGTCATCCAGAGTCCAGGCAGAGCCAGGCTTTCTCACATGGCCATGGCCACCGGCAGCCAGGTGGATGGCAGGCCTGCTAATGAGGTCACCCTCTGCAGATAGTCTGTAATGTGGCAAATAGACTGTCCCCCAGTCCAGGCACCAGTTACGGCCCTGACACCGATGTGTTGACTGCCCAGTCATTTGCAGCTCTCTCCCCGGAAACGTAACCCACTAGTTAAATAGATGTGCCCAGCAGCTGCCCAGACTTTCACTAGATGTCCCATGTCCCCAGTGCCATAGCCCAGGCTGTGGGTCTGAGACCAGCAGGCAGAGGGAGGGCATTGTGGGTGCCCACAGGTCCAAGTTGCTCATACACTGCTGTGTTTCTTGTCCCTTGCAGAGGGCTTTCAACGCTCTGTGTCACAGCACTCACCTGTACGGCCGGAGGCTGGTGCTGGAGTGGGCGGACTCTGAGGTGACCGTGCAGGCCTTGCGGCGGAAGACAGCTGAGCACTTTCACGGTAGGTGTGTCTGAGGACTACCTCTCAGGTGATCCAGGATCCTGAGACCACCCCTAGGCCCTCTGTCCTCCCAACTGCCCCATGCCAGGCCTCTACCTTACTGCCCTCTGCACTCACCACGTCACTGGGAGCCCAGGCAGAGGAGCAAGGGCCGGGAGTTTATCCCTGGAGGCTTTTCTGCCAGGTTGCCAATGCAAAGGCTCGAGCTCAGGGCTCTGCTCTGTCCGCCATGTGGTCATCCTCAATTCAGGTTCCAAAATCTGTTCCTTCAGGTCTGGGATGCTGGCAGCCCCTCCTGGTGACCATCTGGGTACCACAGTGTCACTGATTTCCTCCACTAGACCTTCCTGGGCTCCCTCACTTGAGGGCTGTCCATCCACTTCTTGCCAGGGCACTGTGCTCACAGCCGTAACTCCCACTCTTACTTCAGTACCTTGGTGGCATCCTGTCACGACCTTGTGACTAGAAAACCCTAAGCATAAGCCATGTCCTTGTGCTTGGGCACTGTAGTGGGTTTTCAGGGGCTGGGCCACTTCGCTTCATCAGGCGGTCCAAACAGGGCTGGCCCAAGCAGAGTTGGCACCAGGAATGGAGCAAGGGGTGGAGTCTTAGAAACGGGGAGATCAGCGTGGCCAGGACTGGTGGGGGCAGGTGGAAATGGCGGTCAGTGTGGGTAGGATGGAGGTGAAGGCACTGGGCGTCCCCTGCTGTCCTGTACCGCATGTCCCTTACTCAGGTAGCAAGGGGCACTTGAACTTCAATCCCATCTCCCCTCCCCCGACCCGCCTCAGAAGCATCTTCCTTTGCTATGGTCCAGATAGGCTTCCACCCACTGTGGGGCCCTGGCTTAGTGATGGGTCACCCTGTGGCAAGTGCATCCCCCTCCCCACTGTCTGGGAAAACCAAGCTCCAGGATGGGCCTGGGTAGGGACTGCTTGCATCACTCTCAGTGTGGAGATCTTAGGTGGGCGGCACAGAGCCTTCCTCTGTCTCCTCGTCCTAGGGTCAGGATTCATCAGTCCTCCTCAGGTGCCTTACTGGATGGATGGGGGCGGGGGTGGGGGAGGCTATAAAACCCCTCACCAATACCACCACTCATCTCTCTGGACAGCCTGAACCTGGAGTGATTTTCTCCTTCTCTGGATCAGGGAAATGGGGCTCTCAAACCAGGCATAAATCTTAGAGGACCTTCTGAGGACAGCATCCCTCAAGGCTGGCCAGGATGGTCTTGCCTGGAGTTACAAATCAGGGCATCTTCAGAAGTGCGCTTCAGAAGGTGCCAGACCTTCCCAACAGATCCCTGCCCTCCTGGGGTCTTCCCCAACACCGCAGGGTCTTCACACAAGCTTTCCTCTCCACACCGTGCCTTATCTTATCCTTGGGCACTTGGTTATCCTGGTGAATGTCGGCTCAGAACCCTTCCAGGTTCCCTTTCTCTCTCTTTGCCTTGGTATCAGATGTCAGTGGCTCTGTCTACCCTTCCACCTCCTCCCATACTTCCTTGCCATGTTGTGCCATGCCCTCCATGTGGAAACTGTGCCATGCTCCTTTTTGTCACTGATCAGCCCATCTCTGTGTCCCTGTGCCTGGCACTATCCCTGACATGGGCTAGTCCTTCAGTCCAGGGCTGGGAATATCTGTGCCCAAGAGAATGTAAAGCTGGAAACAGTTCCAAGCGCACTGCTCAATAAGTCTCCAATCCTGACGTGCAGAGAAGAACCTGTCTGTATCGACAGCCATTGACAGACCCAAATGCACCCGTCGACAAATGTTTGTGCAAGGGGTTGTCCCTGGAGCTGAGGTAGGGGCACCTCCCCGTCACCCCCCACCGCACACCCCGGGCCAGCAAAGAGTGCGGTCTCAGCGTTTCCACCCTAAGTGGAGAAGCCCCTTCAATAAATTGAACTCAAAGACACCATGACTGCCTCCCCAGTGGGAGGACTTGGCAGGAGGATTGCTGTGGGGTCCGCTGTCTGTACAACCACTCCGCTACGGCCAGGACCCAGAGGAGCAGGTGCAGTAATAATAATAGCAGACACCATGCATTTTATCCCATTGCTTTTCTGACAGCCCTTACACGGTCATGATGGGCACATCCTACAAGTGAGAGAACTGAGGCCAGCCAAGAGTGGATGTGTCCTCACAGCCAAGGGCCTGAACACCCCAAGGGCTGATGGGATCCGAGCCCAGGTCACATCTGAGGTAGAGGCCATGGGGTCAAGGCAGAGCTGTGCCCTAACTGCATCAGGCCCTCCACCCAGCCCCTACACTTTGGTCTGGAGGTGCCCACCACAGAATAGGGCCTCTGGTCTCCTACCCAGGCCTTTTTTCCCCTGTGTGCCCTGTCCCCTGTGGCGAAAAAGACCCAGCTTATTTGTGTCAAAATCTACATTGTTCAGAAAATCCAGGACCTTGGCAGACCCTGAGGGCAGGTGGGATCTGTGCCCAGTTCCGTCCGCAACTCCAGCCTGGGCCAGACCTCTGCCAGAAAGGCACTCTGATCTCAGGTGGAAACCACCAAGCCCTCAGGACAAAGGCTCCCCATGGGATGTGGGCTGGGGAATGAAAGGCAGTGTTTTTAGCTGTTCGCCAGGAGGGCCTGGCCGCAAGCTTGCTGTTGTCACCACGGCATGTGAGCTGTTCTCTGGGAAGCCTTCTTAGGACCAGTACGGCCAGCAAGATTCACCCAACATTTGCCCACCCCTGGAGTTCCACTTCTCTGACAACTCCGCTGCTGACTTGGATTATACTCTGCTAGTCTTCACCTGTTAGGCCTTACTTGAACCACATACTATCTGTGGGCTTCCACAGGTTTTAATTGTACAGAATTCTGGGAGGTCAATACTGTTGTAGCGATCAGGAAAGTGAGGCAGACAGGACAAGTAACTTGCTTAGGAGCACCAGCTACTAATGGCAGAGTCAGGATTCAGATCCACCCTACTGAGTCTGCATCAGCTGGTCTGTGTGTGCTCATATCCTCTCCTGTTCCATGATCTCGGTTAGGTCTTAGCCTTGTCATCTGTACAGTGGGCACTGGGGAGATGGTGGGACTCAAAGGAGATGGCACACAGCTCTGGCAGGCAGTGGGCATAAGTTGGCATAGTCACCATCCTCTTTGGGCACTGGTTCTTCCTCCTAGGGCCAAGACCACTGCCCACTGTTCCTTTCCTCAGTCAAGTTGGACTGAGGAAGGTTGCACCCTGGGCAGAGGGAGGAAAATTAGGAGGACCCTGGTGCTTACAGCAAATGTGCACGTGAGAGGAGAGGAAGAGACAGAGGAGCAGGGGAGGACAAGCAATGCCTGGCTCCAAACGCCACCTGTCTCCTGTATCTCTTAGCTGCTTGCACAGAGCCTGGCCTGTAGAAGCACAATTAGTACATAGCAGCCTGAGGACGATGAGGAGGCAGGGCTCCTTGCTGGCAAAGCAGCTCCTATGTCACCTGCCAGGCTAGAGCTCGCTGCCATCCCAGGCTGCTTCCTAGCCGCCAAAGGCTTGCTTTAAACCCCCAGCTGCCCCCTCCCCAGGGCAGTTATGATGTACACCATCCCTGTGTGATGGAAGGGTATTCTAGCCTCCTTTGCAAGTCGGTGCTTGAGGAATGCCTGTCAAATTCAACAGCAGTGAAATGTTTAGAAAAGTTGCCGAGTTGGCCAAGACCTTGACAAGCAGACACTGCTTTGGAAAGGGAAGACCAAGGCAGACATTCTCCCCAGGACGGTCTCACCCTTCTCCTGTTCTCCTCCTACCCCCTGCCTCCCTCCTTTCTTCCTTCCCTCCCTTCTCTCTCTTTCCTTCCTCCCTCCCTCCCTCCTCCTTTCCCAGCCAAGAATCAGATTTCGCATCTCCAGCTCACAGCCCCATAGTAGGTGAAGTGCTATTCTTCAGCGCCTTGCATGTGGGATGTGAAAAGAGAGAGCAAGGAGGGAAGAGAGAGGAAAGTCTGCCACTGGCTGTGCCCCTTTCTTCCCGAGCATGTTACAAACCAGCAGGGTCGCAGCATCGCGAGGCTTTCAGGGCCCGGCAGGCCGCGGTCCCTGTGAGCACAGCCGAGAGAATATAATGGCACGGAAGAAATCCACCGCAGAGCCCCCTGTTTTAAGCGCTCGCAGCCAGGGAGGCCGGGCAAACAGGCTTTTATTTGGCCGGGAGTGTGGCTCTGCTTCCCCATGTTGTCTTATTCCAGCTGGGGAGGCCTGATGGGCTGTGGTTAGCGTCTGTACCTTTCACCTCCGGAGCTGGGAGCGCAGGCATGACCAGCATGGCAAGTGCTTGCACTGGTGGCAGTGCCTTTCCCCGCTCCCCCCTGCCTGCCAGGCCAGGCTAGGCTGGCCAGGATGGGAGGTGGAGAGTCACAGCACTCCTCTCCTGGTCCAGCCTGGTGGGGGAGGTGGGGACAGGGAAGGAGCCCAGCTGCTTGGCCCCATCAGCCTGCCCCACCCCCCAGGTCTCAGCCAGGGTGAGAGATGCTAGTCCCCCCACCACCCCGCCGCCCCGCTTCCAGCCCTCTTTCTCCATTCCTGCGCCATACTCCACAACTCATCTTCCGGTGCTGTCATCTGCCATCACAGGCTTGTATGTGCTGTTAAAAATCCCTTCTCACTGCAAGCTTGCCATGGCTGTCTCTGCTCACCCTGCTGCACTCTGCACCCAGTGCAGAGGGGCCACCATAGCTATGGGGGGATGAAAAAGCGAGCACCAGTAAGAACCTGGTAGCTGGTGTGGCCGACGATAGTTGATATCTGGTGTGTCCCAGGCTGTGTGGTGCTAACATGGCACCAGGGTCAGCGAGACTGAGCAGGGCACTTGCCCCGCTGTTGGGCTGCAGCCTGCACCTGGCCTCTGTTAGTCTGAAGCTATATGCTTCCACCCTCTGCTTCCAAGCCTGCCGATCTGAAAAGAGGCAACCATGTGAATTCTCATTGAGCTCAAACCAGAAAAAAGGAAAGAATGGAGAAGACAGCTTTGTCAAGGACCTACTGAGTGCTGGGAGCTTTACATTCCCCATCTGGAACCAAAGTGCTGGATTTCTAGTCCTTTCAGCCTCACAACTCCCTAACAGAGGCGCCATTCCCATTTTACAGAGGTGCAAATGGAGACCCAGAAAGGTGCATCGACTTGCGTGAGGGCACACGGCACTGGGGCCTCAGAACAGATAACCCTGTTCCATTCCACCCTATATCCCAGCCAGTCTTGACTCTAAAATGGCCCACTCTATCACTTAGAGACTCCTATTCCTGGGAGGGCATCAGTTGAAGCCCAGCCCTGGTCTGTTTTTACACAT